GCTTACTTGAGGGTAGTGAATGATGTTGTTTGATATTTATATTTTCTTCATTTTACTATTATTCAGCTTAATTGTATAATTACACCGTTTTTGGGCCAAGTGTTTTGGGCTAGCTGCTTGTGTTTGGTAAATGATTCTTAGTTTCCCTGAAATTTGAATAATTTCCCGGGGCCGGTTATGTTCACGCTAGCCTAATATCGCATTTTTTACGGTCTACTGATTTTGGTCTTGGAATTATGGTCCTACATCCGGGGCTTTGCTCAGCTGCTTTCTAGGATTTTCGATGTGAAGTGTGCTTATCTCAGTTTAGGGTTAGTAATGCTAAATTTTGTGGGTTTCTGGCCTATATGGGTTTCATCAGATAAACTTTATATAGATGTATGATTTTATATTGTTGCAGATTTTGTTGTGCTATGTACGCTGAACGTTGTTAATCGTTTGCTATAATACCGGTAACTGATATCTCAATTTTGCATTGCCGTTTGCCATCTTCAATCTTTATAAAGAAAATTACATTGCTGCATTGGTTTTCGTTTCTACAACTTGTGTTCTGTGTGTTTCACTGGATTGGGTCATTGCTGTCAGTTTTTCAGTTCAAGGTAAACGCATTTCAACCAGCAAACTGGCAAACCAGAGAATTAGGCAACATCAAATCTTAAATTATCAATAGAAAACGCTGGCATCTCAAGGGGTCTGGCGTGGGATAGTTCTAAATGATCACTGTCCTGAACAATTACCAACTAAGGTTAGGGCTAGAAATGCAGACTGCGCTAGAAAGTCATGTTTTTAATTTATTCCGAACCCAAACTCAAATACCGGTTATGTTCAAACAGTTGTTACATATCGATTTTAATCGGTAAGTATGTTGATAGGTATTTGTCAGTCTGTATGTCTGTTTGTCAGTTAGATGGACGCGATGAAAGCGAGATTGAATCTGCTCCAGATTTTGCATGTGCATTCATCTTATCTCGGACCAGAAGCCTATTGATTTTTGGCGAATTATGTCGTATAATTAGCGAGTTATTAATTAACTAGTGATGGGACACAAGGTGTCACTGTGGAGTAAGAGCGCTGTTTTGGGGGATCCCCTAACCTTTGATCGATAGGTCTTCGGTCTCAGACCGATATTCTTGTTCACAAGTTTATTACATATGGTGAAGCTAATGACAAGATCTGACAACCCCATTTCGATTTGAAATCACCATTTTTGGAAATTCCATACCACCGCAAACAAAGTATTTTGTCGGTCCGTGCTATTTCATTCTCAAAATTCATTAGAATGCGTTCTAAGTTTAACTCTATAAGACGAAAAACTTGCCCGGGATGTTGGTGTAAAATGTAAATCTTCCGTGTAGACGAGTTTTTCGCTAGTCGAAATCAGTCGTGGTGCCAGGGTTGGATTTACCATCATGTGAGGTAGAAGCCTCCAGATCAACTTTCGAACTAATTTGAATGCGTTTCAATTGTAAAGGCTTGCTCCATATTAAAACCGTCTTGAGCTCGTTTAAGGATATATTTATTTCATCATTATAGATGTTTTGACGTTATCGTTACGGAGGGGACTAATTGATGATGTCCTCTCAATGTCTAAATCCGACCGGTGTTTAGCACGTGACCTTGCCTACTTTATGAATAAAACCAGTACTTATGCGTTTATACTACAAGGCATTCTGGGATTGTTGAGTGAAGTGGGTTAGTTGTGGATTGAGTTTCTTCACAAATGGTTTCAGTTTTTCATAAAGTTCATAATTTTGTCTGAATAATGCAACTTGTAGGAACTACCTAAACACCTGCATTTTCGCTGCCCCAAATACATAAAAGTCGAAAACCACGCTTTTTTGTCGTTAAATGTTATTATCTATATTCACTCTAATTAATATAACTGATGAAAACAAATAGAGCCTACACTATGGTGATGCATGAATTAAGGCCATAATTCTAGAATTCAAAAAATTCTTTTTTAACTAGAATTATAGTCATATCTATATATTTTACAGTTTCAATTTTTTTTCTATGGAGTCAGTTCTCAGTAATCAGTTATTGTTTAAGTATTATGATTTCATTCAATACATCGGTGGGGACCGAAACAATATATGGTATCGGCAGATTTTCTTTTTTATTTTAAATTTTCTTTAGATGTTATAGCTGATATTTTCTCTCTCGGTCTTGTCTTCTTTTTCATGTGGAGTGGGGGTCGCCATCCTTTTGGTAGCGATCCAGATGACTGGAACAAGAATATCAAGAAATATATCAACAGGGATTTCAATCATCTTGTGAATATGGGAACCTTATACGTCATAGATTTGATAGCATGGATGTTAGCATTCGATGACAAAGAAAGGCCGACTTGTGGACAAATTAAGCAACATAGAATGCTTGGAGGAAATGTGGAGATTCAATTTTTCTTTCATTTAGTTCTATTACAAGTTCGGGGACTAGCCAAGTGACTCCCGTAGTATTTGTACCTGAAAGTTTGGGCTAACTCTAAACTGGTACATATACTACGTCCCGGTGTCTCCACATACTAGGGAAGTATCAGGAAGTTGTTGAGATTAAATTTATTTTTGGCAAGATGCTTATTGTTTTCCACTTTTGATTTTGTAACACTGTAAATATTGTTCATTAAATGTAACTTTTACGTCACAGTTACATGTCCCGCCAGACTAGGTGGGAATTTTTTTCGACCCCTGGTTCAAAAACCTTGCCCACCCCTGATCTAAACCAAGGGTGTGCAACATGCGGCCCGCGGGCCACAAACCGGCCAGCCAAATCTTTCGCCGTTTGTTCGATGCATTCATTACCGTGAGGCTAAGCGATGGCCGCATTTTTTTCTCTTGCCGTTCCCGCTAATTTTTTTTTGTGTGGCCAAGCTAGATGTCTGAAGTTTTTTATATGGCCCACCGACAACAATGTTGCATACCGATGATTCAAACTGTGCGCTGTAGTCACTCAAGGGTTTTGGAATGTATTTATTTCAAATATCAAAAAGATATATCTCTAACGTCTTTCATTTGAGTGAGAATCGAGTGTCCTATTCGATGTGAGGCAGAAAACACGTGAGAAGAAACAAAAATTAGAATAATAAATATCATTGGCATAGCCGTCCGGAATTTTGAAAATAGCCTTAGCATTTTTAGTCGATAAGCTTTTTAAAACTGTGCGAAAGTGTAAGTTGTGCGCTGCACCACCTAATGATCCATTAAGGATAACAAATAACGAAAACAGTTGTTTATTTTTGAGTTGAGTTTTTCATATGTAATGAGGAAGGAATAAAGAAATACAAAATATGAAAAGGGAGGAATATTTCGAAAAGGTTGGGAACCATCGCTCCGAATGCCCGGACAATTTGGGTCGTTAGGTAATTACTAACACATTTAAAGTGCAGAATCGCCTTGGAAATTGATCTATTTACAGCAGTATTATGGCGTGACACACTACACAAATGTTGCGATTCCATTGTTTTGAATTACGAGTCATCTTCCGTATTGCGGTGTGGGTTGTTTACGCTCTTGTCGGAATACCTTCAAGCAACATATGCTACCTCAGCGCGTCTTGTGAGGTTTTGAATCTTATCACTGGCTAGAACTAAATATCAATCTTGGGTACTCCTGTAGTGTGTGTACCAGGTTAAGGTTAGTTCATAATTTTATTCCGATTTTTCTTATTTTACTTCTATTACGAGTTCAGGAACTGTCTGTGGAACGTAGGCGACGAAAATTAGTTACCTACATATGAGTACATACACTTATTGGGGAGCCTGTCCTTGCCATTCGAAATACTATTGATAGAATGGCCATCTCTGTGCAAGCGTTCGTCGGCGATTCTGTTATTGCTCACCACTATTTTTTTGATGTGTCCTTTGATTTTTAAATTTACTTAAGCTGTGATAGATTAGGTTTAGTTGCGACGTCTTCTCTCAGTGACAGGATAGCACCGAGCACTGTTATCAAGGTTTATTCTCACGTTTGAGTTGAGTTATTGAATAAATTCGTATTTTTGCTTTCTTGTACATAATAATCCTTCCACGTACTTGGAGTAATGAATTTTAGTCTTTGCGAATATGCCTTACGTTATTCTGCTTTCGCCAAACCACAACAGTTTGATCTGTACCCCCGTAGTATGTATACCAGGTTAGGGTTAGGCCATAGTTTTATTCCGATGTTCCTTATTTTAGTTTTATTACGAGTTCGGGGACTGTCTGTGTTAGCCAAGTGAATATATATGTTTCAGTCTCTTTGAACAACTTGATGTAAAATAGTTGAACAAAATTAGTTATCTCCATATTGGTACACATACTTCTGAAGTGCCGTTTGAACAGTTAAAACCAGGGGTGCAACCGTAACTTTGAAAAGGGAAATCTAAGTTTGTCCAAGATTATGTGGAATGAAATCGTCCTCAAATGTTTTTACAAGTTGTCTGAAAACGGAAGTTTGGATATCTGCGGTGAACTATACTTCTTCTTTTAGTACTCCCATGGTGTGTGTACCAGGTCAGGCCATCATTTTATTCCGATTTTCGTTATTTGATCCCATTGCGAGTTCGGGGAATGTCTGCGTTAGCCAAGTGATCAGTCCCTTTACACAACTTGATGTAAAATAGGCGAACAAAATTAGTTAAAATTAATTCGATTCGGTATCCCAAATATATATTTCATTTTAGGTGGGGTTTTTGGGGGCCAAAATTTAGGGGTGGTGGATATTATTCTAATAGCGGTAAAACTATTTGTGACTCATAATAATGTGTTATGTATTTGACTGACTATCTGCACTGGTATATACGACACTCTGTGCATATTCAAATACCGGTATATACAAAAAATATATTCAGGATAGGAATTAAAGTATGGTGTCCTATACTTCGAAATTTGTGGATGTTGTAATTGTTTGGGGGGTTTCACTGGTTCGATCGAACCAAAGTAAAAAAAACACTGACCTACAGTAACCTTTACACACGCAATTGCATTCGGTTTCAGGAATTTTCATTGAGTCAGGAATATCACAGGCTAAACTGCTTAGCTTACTTTTCTGTTGTCTTCATTTGAAGCTCAGAAGTCGAAGATTAAGTTGAGTCTGAGAAGTCAGAAAAATGGAAGATTCCTTCGACAAACTAACGATGGAAGACCCGATCTTAGATGAAGATTCAACTAAAAGAACGGAAAATACTTCAACGGAATTACGAGTTCAGAATCTGAATGTCCAGACCATGGTGATACTAAAGCAAGGTGAGTTTATAGCTAAACGAATGACAATGAAAGATCTAATACTACTTCGTTTAGGTCTTCGTGTCCATGTATTTGAGGATTGCTTTCTTTATTAATTATGTGTTTTTCAGAATACAATGGTGCAGTTAACGCAAATATTGTCACAATGGGAGCTTCCAACGTCACAATAAATCAAGAAAAAGACCAAAATGTGCAGTTAGGGAGAACGGAATCTGGTGACGGTGAGTTAGTTTAGTTGATGTATTTCAAATGCCAGGATTCCGTGAACGCGTACTCCGGAATGACAGAAAAGTCACAAAATTATGGTACAATACGTATGTCTCGGATGGAGTGGAATTTAAACATTGTTTATCGAAGTAAAGTTTGTAAATTTTACCAAAAACATAATAGCAAAACTATATTACTTCGGGTTATTTTTGTAACGTCGTATTTCCAAGCTAAGCAGTTTTGATTCGAAATACGAGAGTTCCTCGCAATTTATAAGAAAAGAGTAAATATACTAGTATTATGTACCAACGTAAAGTAATTCCTTGCTTAAAGTGTCTGAAATAGTAACTTAATGACGAGTTATTGTTACCGGCGTCACATTCAGCCACTTACAAATCCGAAACTATGAGCTAACCGAACGTTAAATCTCTGGTATCAATAGAAACTAACTAGATTATACAGTATCTACTAAATGCTCTTCCGTATGCAAAAAAATAACCCGACTTGAAAGACACGAGTCGACTTAACAATTTACCTCAGTGACACAGTGATTCGTTATGATTAAGAATTGTCTATTAATTATTTCAGATACAGTCTGGCTGACAGAATCAATTTCGATGTCGCAAAATGAAAAGATATCAAAGTATGGTCTCGTTTACATAGGTCAACAAATCCATGGAGAATTTGGTGTCACTCCAGTTGCAGTAAAACTAATACCGCATAACACAGAAAATGAGAAAGAGGCGAAAATCCTCGTGAAACTGAGTCGCCACCCAAATGTCGTTAGCATGATACAATCAGGTATTTACACATCTGGCCCCGTGAAATACATATTCATCGTTATGGAGATGTGCAGAAACGAAACGCTCCGTGAATTTGCGAATAGCTGTGAAGACTTGACGGAGGAAATCAGAAAGACTTTCACAAAACAGCTCGTTCATGGCCTCGCCCACATTCACGAAAAGAAAATAATTCATCGTGATTTGAAACCGAGTAATATATTGGTCACACTCGACGGAAAACATCTTAAAATTTCTGATTTCGGCGTGAGCAAAGAAATGAGAAGCGGACGAGCCGCCACGGCCTTGACCTATGCACGAGTCGGCACTGACGGATGGAGAGCCCCAGAAACATACAACAAGGATATCATTACTCAAAAAGCTGATATTTTTTCTCTCGGTCTTGTCTACTTTTTCATGTGGAGTGGGGGTCGCCATCCTTTTGGTAGCGATCCAGATGACTGGAACAAGAATATCAAGAAATATATCAACAGGGATTTCCATCATCTTGTGAAAATGGGAACATCATACGTCATAGATTTGATAGCGTGGATGTTAGCATTCGATGACGCAGAAAGACCGACATGTGAAGAAATTAAACAACATAGAATGCTTGGCGGCATAATGAGATGCCCTAGTTTGCTCAGAATGGTATCTTCACCAGTAGTAGTTGGGGGTGGTTCTTTCGACAGTTCAAGACGCCGATTTTAAATGCCTATCTTTCAAATGGTTTCATTTTCAACCATTGGCAATCTAAACGTTTCGTGTTTTGTTTGAATCTTCTTAGCTCAAACCAGACGAAATTCTGTCGTGGCACAATCAAATCCGAATGCAAACTATTTCCATCAATCAGAAATATTTACCAATAACTAATTGAGGGTCTTGTAAAGGAGTCTACTCTCGTTAAATCAGGAATAAGTATATAGAACATCAAAAAATATTCTTAAAGGTCATGCCGGATTCATGAGTCCAAACCTGACATGAATGAACAACGGCCCATGGGCCAAATGCGGCCCGTTGGGTAATTTATTCTGGCCCGCCTGATGCTACCACTGCCAAATTTTGTTGTTTCAGCTAAAAAATGATACTCCCGTAGTATGCGAACCAAGATGGCGGACACCGGAACGTAGTATGTGTACCAGGTTAAAAGTTAGGCCAAGATTCCATTCCAATTTTTCTTATTTTAGTTCTATTACGAGTTCGCGGACTAGCCAAGTGACTCCCGTAGTATTTGTACCTGAAATTATGGGCTAACTTTACCCTGGTACACATACTACGTTCCGGTATCTTCACATACTGGGGGAGTACCAGGAAGTTGTTGAGATTGCGATTAAATTTATTTTTGGCAAGAGGCTCATTGTTTTCCATTTTTTGCTTTTGTAACACTGTAAATATTGTTCATAAAATGTAACTTTTGCGTCACAGTTACATGTCCCGCCAGTCTAGGTAGGAATTTTTTTGGCCCCTGGTTCAAAAGCCTTGCCCACCCCTGATCTAAACCAAGGGTGTGCAACATGCGGCCCGCGGGCCACAAACCGGCCAGCCAAACCATTTAGTGTGGCCCTTGCCAACACTCAGATTTTCCCCATCAATCATAAAATCCTAATCCGAGAGTTCATGTTTGAAACGTCGCTCACGTGGATAAAAATACAGAATGTATTTAGCATGTATGTAGCACCAATGAATAGTCCCGAGTTTACAACCTAGGTAACGGTATTTCTTTCTCCAAACTTTCTGTTTTACAACTTTCAGGCACCATAGTGTAAAATATACAAGTTCACACTTTAAAACTAGGCTACTTCAATTGTTTTGAGAGTCGAACTAAGCCAAGCTGCTTCCTAGCGAAACTGGAATCCGCACTAAACAGCAATTTTGGCGGGAAAGTACGTCAGTCTTTGGCGGAGTCAGAAAATTCAAAATTCGAATTCGTTGCGATCTGAGATATTTGCATATACTTTGGTCCGATAAAAGATGTAGCGATACAGCGCAAAACTACTAGATTCACCAGTAGTTGGAGTCGTGACTGCAAGTAGACCTGTCCGTTTGAGAATAAGTGCTGTCAGTTCACCAGTTTACATGATGCCTAAAATAAAATATCCTTCCACTCGATATAATATTGAGTGCAATATTAAGATTTGTTTATCATAAGCTATAAATTCTATGTCGCGATAACATACGAAGTCGCAGGTTTACGTAGCATTGTATGACTTGCGCCTTATGACGCGTAGCCAAATTCGTATTGGTTTGGGACCAAATTCGTCGCACCAATGTATTTTTCATTGGCATGCATTTTGCTGATAATATGTGGAAGACTGTCTTCTGAACTCCATGTATTTGATTACTACCTAGTGGACTTATTCTAACATAACCGCGAGATAGTTGTTTTCAGTACAGCCGTTTTTCTGTGTTACGTATAATTCATTGTATATTTAACAACCGTATGTTTGTTTTATGATTATGCAACAGTATATGGAATTTTACACCGTACAAGCGGTGAAATCACAAATTTTACGATGATGTAAAAATACGTATAAATAGTTGCTCGTCCAAAATACTGCCGAACGGTCGTATTTTTTACAAAGAAATGGCTGTAAAATTACTAAATTTTTTACAGTATGCGCTGCACCATCTAAGTATCCATTAAGGATAACAAATAACGAAAACAGTTGTTTATTTTCGAGTTGAGTTTTTTTATATGTAATGAGAAAGGAATAAAGAAATACAAAATATGAAAAGAGAGGAATATTTCGAAAAGGTTGGGAACCATCGCTCCGAATGCCCGGACAATTTGGGTCGTTAGGTAATTACTAACACATTTAAAGTGCAGAATCGCCTTGGAAATTGATCTATTTACAGCAGTATTATGGCGTGACACACTACACAAATGTTGCGATTCCATTGTTTTGAAATACGAGTCATCTTCCGTATTGCGGTGTGAGTTGTTTACGTCCTTGTCGGAATACCTTCAAGCAACATATGCTATCTCAGCGCGTCTTGTGAGGTTTTGAATCTTATCACCGGTTAAAACTAAATATCAATCTTGGGTACTCCTGTGTAGTGTGTACCAGGTTAAGGTTAGTTCATAATTTTATTCAGATTTTTCTTATTTTACTTCTATTACGAGTTCGGGAACTGTCTGTGGAACGTAGGCGACAAAAATTAGTTACCTACATATGAGTACATACACTTATGGGGAGCCTGGCCTTGCCATTCAAAATACTATTGATAGAATGGCCATCCCTGTGCAAGCGATCGTCGGCGATTTTGTTATTGCCTACCACTATTTTTTTGATGTGTCCTTTGAATTTTAAATTTACTTAAGCTCTGATAGATTAGGTTTAGTTGCGACGTCTTCTCTCAGTGACAGGATAGCACCGAGCACTGTTATTAAGGTTTATTCTCACGTTTGAGTTGAGTTATTGAATAAATTCGCTTTTTTGCTTTCTTGTACATAATAATCCTTCCACGTACTTGGAGTAATGGATTTTAGTCTTTGCGAATATGCCTTACGTTATTTTGCTTTTGTCAAACCATAACAGTTTGATCTGTACCCCCGTAGTATGTGTACCAGGTTAGGGTTAGGCCATAATTTTATTCCGATGTTCCTTATTTTAGTTTTATTACGAGTTCGGGGACTGTCTGTGTTATCCAAGTGAATATATATGTTTCAGTCTTTTTAAACAACTTGATGTAAAATAGTCGAACAAAATTAGTTATCTCCATATTGGTACACATACTTCTGAAGTGCCGTTTGAACAGTTAAAACCAGGGGTGCAACCGTAACTTTGAAAAGGGAAATCTAAGTTTGTCCAAGATTATGTGGAATGAAATCGTCCTCAAATGTTTTTACAAGTTGTCTGAAAACGGAAGTTTGGATATCTGCGGTGAACTATCCTTCTTCTTTTAGTACTCCCATGGTGTGTGTACCAGGTTAGGCCATAATTTTATTCCGATTTTCGTTATTTGATCCCATTGCGAGTTCGGGGAATGTCTGCGTTAGCCAAGTGATCAGTCCCTTTACACAACTTGATGTAAAATAGGCGAACAAAATTAGTTAAAATTAATTCGATTCTGTATCCCTATTATTTCATTTTAGGTGAGTGTTTCAAAATTTAGGGGATGGTGGATATTATTCTAATAGCGGTAAAACTATCTGTAACTCATAATAATGTGTTATGTATTTGACTGACTATCTGCACTGGTATATACGACACTCTGTGCATATTCAAATACCGGTATATACAAAAAATATATTCAGGATAGGAATCAAAGTACGGTGTCCCACTTCAAAATTAACGAGTGTTGAAATTATTTGGGGGGTTTCACAGGGTTCAATCGAACCCTAGTTAAGAAACACTGACCTACAGTAACCTTTACACACGCAATTTTATTCGGTTCCAGGAATTTCCATCAAGTCAGGAATATTACACGCTAAATTGCTTAGATAATTTTTCTGTTGTGTTCATTTGACGCTTAGAAGTCGAAGAATAAGTTGCGTCTGCAAATTCAGAAAAATGGAAGATTCCTTTAACAGACTAACGATGGAAGACCCGACCTTAGATGGAGGTGCAACTGAAAAAACGGAAAATACTTCAACGGAATTACGAGTTCAGAATTTGAATGTCCAGACCATGGTGATACTAAAGCAAGGTGAGTTTATAGCTAAACGAATGACAATGAGTGTCTGTGCCATTGGCAAGACTAGAGGACATAAAATAGTTTCAAATCAGCGCTGCGGATTTGTGCCAGAGTCGGTTTTCAAACTCGAAGGAGTAGAAATTCTGAATTCTCGGGAGAACGGAGAGAAGTTTTGGTATCAAATCCGATTTTCTCGTAGCTAGAGACAGAATTTTACAATTCAGAGTCATGTTCAAAATTTGGTACTCTCCTGTACTGTGTGTACCAGGTTAGAGAGCATAATTTTAGTCCAATTTACCTTATTGTGGTTCTATTACGAGTTTCGGGACTGTCTGTGTTAGCCAAGGGAATACACCCCGTGCCCATAGGCTTCAGTCCCTCTACACAAATTAACCTGTGTCTGTTAACACATCTAATTCATGCTTTCCGGTACCTCCATATTGGTATATACACTTTTGGTGCGCCTAATAATATCCAATTCTCCGTTATGTTGGTATAAATTTTAACTTCCGGGTTGAGGTGGAGTTGTGATACTATCACACCGGAAATCGTAACCGTATATGAAATTTATTGACACGAAGTGGACCTATGGATCGTTTTGGTATTATATTGTTGTGAAAAAATCGCTCTCACTTCGAAGTTTTATGTGGTGACGTCATAAAAAAAATATAATACGAATCGCGTGCTGTGGTTCCGTGATCACAGCTCAGATAAATGGTGGTCAGAACTAATGCTACTTCGTTTAGGAATTCGTGTCCATGTATTTGAGGATTGCTTTCTTTATTAGTTATGTGTTTTTCAGAATACAGTGGTGCAGTTAACGCAAATATTGTCACAATGGGAGCTTCCAACGTCACAATAAATCAAGAAAAAGACCAAAATGTGCAGTTAGGGAGAACGGAATCTGGTGACGGTGAGTTAGTTTAGTTGGTGTATTTCAAATGCCAGGATTGCATTCAATGCACGTGAACGCGTACTCCGGAACGACAGAAAAGTCACAAAATTATGGTACAATACGTATGTCTCGGATGGAGTGAAATTTAAACAATTGTTTATTGAAGTAAAGTTTGTAAATTTTACCAAAACATAAAAGCATAACTCTATTATTTTTGTAACGTCGTATTTTCAAGCTAAACAGGTTTAATTCGAAATACAAAACAGTTCCTCGCAATTCAAAAGAAAGTCGTAAATATTATTATCTACAAACGTAAAACGTTTTTCCTCGCTCAAACTAAGAGTGTCCGAAATAGTAATTTAATAACGAGTTCTTGGTACGGCGTCACATTCGGCCGCATACAAATTCGAAACTATGAGCTAACTAACCAAACGGTAAATACCTGGTATCAGTACAAACTAACTATATTTAGGCCAAGCGGTTCTAAAAAAATATTTGTTTGCCAAATAAAAACTCTGAAATCATCGCGAACCCAAGTTGGAAAGCCTGACTCGACTTACAAGTCTACTTCCGTCATCTGATTAAGAATTGTCTGAACTTTCAAGGGGTGTATGCATGATTGCAGGTGGGTGGTTTTGGTGGTCAAACTCCCCCCCCCCTTTTTGAAATGTAAAAAAATAAAAGCATCTTCCTGAATCAGACATGACAAATTGTTCGTAGCTTGAAACGCTTTCTAGACCCTCCAGACTCATGAAAACAGACCGGACCCGCCAACTGTTTCGATCCAACTTGTCAAATAGAAATTTCAGATCTCCCCTCCCCCACTCATTGAAAATTTCTCGCTACGCTCCTGGAACTTTCTATTACTTATTTCAGATACAGTCTGGCTGACAGAATCAATTTCGATATTGCAAAATAAAAAGATATCGAAGTATAGTCTCGTTTACAAAGGTCAACAAATCCACGGAGAATTTGGTGTCACTCCAGTTGCAGTAAAACTAATACCGCATAACACAGAAAATGAGAAAGAGGCGAAAATCCTCGTGAAATTGAGTCGCCACCCAAATGTCGTTAGCATGATACAATCAGGTATTTACACATCTGGCCCCGTGAAATACATATTCATCGTTATGGAGATGTGCAGAAACGAAACGCTTCGTGAATTTGCAAATAGCTGTGAAGACTTGACGGAGGAAATCAGAATGATTTTCACAAAACAGCTCGTTGATGGCCTCGCTCACATTCACGAGAAGAAAATAATTCATCGTGATTTGAAACCGAGTAATATATTAGTCACACTCGACGGAAAACATCTTAAAATTTCTGATTTCGGCGTGAGCAAAGAAATGAGAAGCGGACGAGCCTCCACGTCCTTGACCCATGCACGAGTCGGCACTGACGGATGGAGAGCTCCAGAAACATACAACAAGGATATCATTTCTCAAAAAGCTGATATTTTCTCTCTCGGTCTTGTCTACTTTTTCATGTGGAGTGGGGGTCGCCATCCTTTTGGTAGCGATCCGGATGACTGGAACAAGAATATCAAGAAATATATCAACAGGGATTTGGATCTTCTTGCAAAAATGGGAACCTCATACGTCATAGATTTGATAGCGTGGATGTTAGCATTCGATGACGCAGAAAGGCCGACATGTGAAAAAATTAAACAACATAGAATGCTTGGCGGAAATTTGAGATGCCCTCCGATGCTCAGAATAGTAGCTTCACCCGTAGTACTTGGGAGAAGTTCCTATGACATTTCAAGACGTCCATCGGGCGTATCTTCCTAATGGTTTGGTTCTCGAACCACTGATATTTTAAACGTTTCGTGTTTTATTTGAATCTTCTCAGCTTCCTAGCCGATGTCAGAAAGGTGATGAAAATCAGAATTTTTTTTTGCCTTTCTGTCTGTCTTGACTAATAGATTCGAATCTAACTCAGACAAAAGGGCGCTCCAGAAGTGTGTGTACCAATATGGAGATAACTAATTTTGTTCGCCTACTTCACATTAAGTTGTGTCAAGGGACTGAAAGCTATGGGCAGGGGGTATATTCACTTGGCTAACACAGCCAGTTCCCGAACTCGTAATAGAACTAAAATGAGGAAAATAGAAATAAAATTCTGACTCAACCTTAAACAGGTACACATACTACGGGATCGCATCGGGTTATCTCAAGTTTGGTATTACTGTGTATCTGAAACTGTAATGGCTAGCCGGATTGAATATGTTACACACAATACTCATCAAAAAACGTTTAGATTAAAGACCGGGTTGCAGCGAAACAACCGTTAATCAAAGGGTCATCAGAGTCAGCTACTATCCTGATGTTCTATGACTCGAAGTAAAATAACTGGTACTGGCACCTGACTAGCCGGTACTCCCGAAGTATGTGAACCAATATGGAGGCAATTACAAATAAGTTCATGACAATTCAACGTGGCCGCTGGTTGAAATTCTTCTAGTATGATATGATATTATATCTTTATTTTTTATATTTGTATTGTATTTTTGAACATCCGTATCAGGAAATTATATATCTCTTTCTCTGGAATCTTGGTCATTTGCTTTTTAAAATACTAATTGCATTTAGTATTGCACGACACTCTGAGTTAGCATTATTATTTTGGGTGATATGGAATTGCATGTCAAACAAAAAACACATTGAAGCTCAATCCTGTCGTCCGCCATTAGCAATGTGATAAAGACAGATACTTAAAACACCGCCGCTGATCCCCAAAATGTCTGAACCAATCATGACGTGGCTCTTCACGTGATTATGTCTCGTCAACCAATCAGTGCTATCAATCTAGCCCCACTAAGTTAATCTTAAGTTTCTTTATTGTGTTTGACTTTTTCTTATTCTGACACGTTGGCCGGAAAACCGGGGTTGACGCGCATTCAAATCAGGGGCAGTGAGGAGATAGTAGCGTGCTGTGGTCGTTGTAGCGTAGGCTTGTATAGTTAGCTGCAAGGCTTTTTTGTAGCCATCTTTATTGTGTTTATTTATACATTAAGCAAAGTGCAATGCAAGATTTTTTGTTACAGTTTTATTCGTTTTGTGCTTTTCAAAATTCGTTTTTTTTTGTCTTGATTTGAACGTTTATTGAGATTATAATTCTGGTCTACTGCAATACTACTTGTATTTCCTAACCTACGAAGTGTGACTCGCCGGAATAATTTAATTCATTTGAAGTACAATTCCTGCTGTAAGTTTGCTCTCCCTAATGCTGCAGACTACTGGAAATTATTGTCAATGTTTCTTTGTCGTCTGCTTTTCCGATTTTTATTATCTGCACCGCTTTATTTACAAACGAACGCTCAGACTTAGTGTTTCAGGTGAAATCGAAGGAGATCGTGAAATCCACGTGCATTTGTAAGTATTGATGGAGATTTTAGAAACCTTCGCTTTTGTAAAGTGGCGCTCAGCGTGGCTTCAAAGTGGTTAATGTGTGTATCAAGGTTCGTTACTGCATTAGTTTTTAGTGAATGTGTTTCTGCTTCGTTAGCTTAGATTTTTTAAATCGATAAATTTTTTTCACAGGTTATTAAAAGATTGGGCGAAGCAAGTTTAAATTTTGATTTGAGCGGTGATTTCGCCGATTAATATTGCCCGCCATATCTCTTTTCCAAGCAACCAACGCGAGAGTGATAAAGAATAAGATGGTCGACGTAAGCTTTTGATGTTTTGTGCCAAGGTAATCGAGTAGTATTCGTGTATTTAAATTATTTTAAAAAACAAGCCATACCCGGAGACTATACGGCTAGTCAAAAACGTCGTACAAGTTACGATCGAGCAGCTACTTACCACCAAATTGTATTGTATTGACGTTGTATTTTAAATGGCCTCCCTTTTACATCAGTTTATTGTTTCGGCAAGTTAATCCCCGTTCTCTTCAAGCAGCCAAAGAAGTTTATCGTGAATATAAAATGTATTATTTCATCGTTGGATGGCAGCAATGGATGTGCCAAGGTAAGCATAGGATTATTGTGTTATGCAAATTTTTTTCAAGTTTTTGCATAGGCTTCATCCACGATGCACATAATGTGTAACTGCCGTAAATAAAATTCGTTGGATGTATAGCACCCCAATAAGCGTTCTATACTGGGTATCCTATAAATATATTTGTGCTTTATTCACAGGCTATTGAATTCGCGAATGCAGCATTTGATTGGAGTTGTCATCGAAGCTAAAAACTTAGTGCGTAACTAAATTTCTCCTTTGAAAACTTGATTTCGGTAAGTAAGGAGATTCTGAATATCTGTGTTTTTAAATTAATCGTTGTAAGTAGACTTAAGAGATACACTGACAACTAATGAATGTTGCCTATCCCCATACTATCTGTGCCTCTGTGCTCAACGTTTCTATACCACAATCAGCTTGCTTATTCCTACTGAAAGCAGAATCATCTTTTAGGCGTTTTACATGCCTTAAATTGCATTTCAGATGCATCAGATATAGAAGACCGTTAAGATATACAGAAGGCCAGTGGTTAAATTCGCGAGGATCAGAATAATAAATCAAATCCTGATTTCAGCACATTGAAGCATGTTCTTCCGGACCTAACGAAGGCAACTATTTCTTTTACTTGACATTATCGGGTATTTTGCTCTCGAATTGTACGCACTACGGCACTTGTGTATGTGAACGCTTAACAATCTGCCCGACTGATGTATGTTTTCAGTGATTTATGCGTCTGGAGGACCTAATAGTTTTATATCTCCCCAAGTATTCGAGATTCGGTTCTAAAAGATATTCGATTCGATTCTGAAATCATCAAATATTCGAAAATGACCAGCCCAAGTAGGCACCCAAAGTCCATTATATCTGCCAAAAACCGAATTATGATGCAGAATAATATTAGGGTGCGTTCCTTGATTAGCCGAAATTATTTAAAACCCTTTCCAAGCAGCTAACACTATTTAATCCAATAATAGAAATAGCCTCTCGACGAAGTAAACTGATATATTTTTGTCAAGGTGAATTGGACAGAAGATGGCAGAATATGCAAGTCATCCGTAACATAACTTGTCGCTACATTCTCGCCTTGAAATCGATACTCTCGAAATATGTGAAACAAAATGGCCGACACCGGAACGCAGTATGTGTATCAGGTAATTTTATTCTTATTTCAGTTCTACTATTACGAGTTCGGGTACTAGCCAAGAGATTCCCGTAGTATTTGTACCTGTAATTATGACCTAACGTTAACCTGGTACACATACTACGTTCCGGTGTCCGCCATCTTGGTTACAGAGATTCGCCCACAAATCTGCAGAAAAATATATTTTGATGGTTGGGATATTTTAATCCATTGTCTTAAGTAATCGTTTAGCATTAGCACTTCTGTTGTTTATTTCAAGTAAAACTGGTCTTTCGCATAAATAAATTCATGTTGTACTCCGTCGCCATTAATTGGAGCTCCGCTCTAGGAGACTCTTATTATCATCAATCGTTCTGTAAGTCTCCGTCTGCGTGTCGAAACTGTAGCGTCGTGTGAAATTTCACACGTGGGTTATCCTGTCACCCTAGGTATGTTTCATCGTAGGTCTGGATTGATGTTCCGTTTCCATGGCAGCAGCAAAAACGATCTTTGAAAATGTTCCCATTTTTACATTAATTTTCGCCAAGTATTAAAATTCTTAAAATGCAGAAATCAAAATGGGCTGGCAGGTAATTTACTACGGCGTTTCCTTATTACCCGTTACTCATTAACTTATAACGCATAATTGGCGCCTACAGGCTTGTACAATTATTTTAGTCATCTACAGTTAATGAAATACTCTGGAACGCGTACTAGTCGCCAGTGAGACTTATAATTCAGTTTGTCCCGGAACTGGATATCCGTGACTTTACTTGACGATTCCCAGCTTATCGTATTGTATACAGTAATATAGTTAATAAATGCAGTATTATTTTGTTCACAGGTATCAGATGTGGAAATAGAAAAACCACGAATCGTAAATTTGATGCAACTGTCTGAGGTAATTGTGGCACGTTCATATTATATTCTGTAACTTGTGCAAGTAAATACACTTTCCATTTTACTGGTTTTTCATTTTACTGGTTTTATTTCTACTAGGCATTTGTAAGCAATTGGGTCCAGATGATTTTCGTCGCCCATCTTAGAGATACTTTTTTTCCGCAGGAACTTTTTTGTGAAGTCTGTGGGGAGGTCTGCAAATGCCGTGTCACATTTGTCCCGATTATTTGAACCTGACTATATATGAATAATCTTGACCCTTTTGCCAAAGTATAAATATATTCTAACCCAGAACAGAATGTATCCCCTTTCATATAGACTTCTACCATTTGTCCCGCAATATACAGGGTGTCCATGAAATAGACCATAAATTTTTCAAATTTTCCAAGGGAATTCATTATTTAGCTCCTTGGTTTCCACAGGTGTATTAAATGAAGTAAACTTAACCAAACAAAAAATAACTTCATAACAAAATTGAAATTGTAAAGGGGCGTTATGGACACCCTATATTTCCAACCTAACTCAACGATATTTTTGAGGCAACAAATCAGTAAATTGTCCCATAAAATGGGCATTTCTTTTCTAACCACCTCCATCCTAAACTGTCAGTAAATGTCTTTGTTATAACTATAAAAGCGGATAAGGATGGCAAAAACTAATTTTCAATAAGGTAAACACACGGTATGTGGTTTTGTATTAATAAAAATTACAAAATATTCAATCGTCTTCAGAAAGGAAGCTGCACAAAAAAGTAAGGATTTCAATTTTCAAACATGCTTAATCCCTATAAGCGTGCCAAAAAAGTTCGGTGCTGGTTTCTGAACTCCTTTTTTTTTTTTATTAGTTTCCGAATTAGATAGTTTCCGAATTAGATCAAGATTTTTAATCATTTTTTTAGAATTTCGAATATCATGGTTTTAATTACCACCATTTCTGAATTCCACACCGCGCGAGGTAAGCCAAGTCATGGGTCATCAGTCTAATCCATGATCACGGGATAGTCTCTAAGTCTCCACAAAGAGGCCGACTCAATGCGCTTGCGAATCGTCACTGCTATTTCGAGTTTTTAGGTTGTCAAGTACATCTAATAATTGACAACATGACTTTGATACTACGTTACGTTACGTCAATGTTTGTCGTTGCGCATTTCGAGGTATTGTTGCAGCAAACATGTGAAACGAGAATATCTGTCCGAGATCGAAGACTTATCGATCGAAACTGCGGTTTTGATTTAGGACTCCATAGTGACACCGCCGCGTGTCCCATCACTAATTAATTGATAACCCGCTAATTATAAGACATAATTCATCCAAAACAATAGGCTTCTGGTCCGATATATGATGAATGCACATACATTGGAGCAGATTCAACCTCGCCTTCGTGAAATATCGCGTTCATCTGACAGACAGACAGACAAATACCTATCAACATACTTCGATCTTAAGATCGATAAGTAATATTAATTAAATATAAAGAAGCTATTATTTTTACGCTTCAGATGGGAGTGCGGGGGAACTTCGATGGAAAATTCAGAATGAAGATTGTGGAGGGTACGTAGAATTAAATCTTTGCTAACCAAAGTGTATACCCTGTGACATCTATATTTTGTAACTTCTAATTAACAAAATCTGCATTGATCTTCGACTATTAACCCTGTAGATTACTTTGGAATTTTGACGTGATTGACCAGACTTTCGGGATTCGGATCAGACACTTAAAATCAACGGGTATATAATTTAATGACGATCGTGACCTAATGATCAATATGGAAGACTACATTTTCATCGGATATGCCGAAGTGATGTCATTAAATTCCGTCCACTCTTCCTCATGGCGGTATAAATATTTATCTTAATGTCCAGTACGTTGGGTTGATCTCGATAGATCATAGGTAGTCGCCTTAATTGTACCAATGTGAATAAACTCATTCACGAGTGTTTTGTTATGCTTTTCAGTCATTGATGTTGAAAGAAATTGATCAATTTTTCTAACTCCTGTACAGGCTCCCTCTCACTGCAGAGACCACATAAAGAAAAAATGAGCCACAAGCAAAAAAACTAAACAATTTCTAGGTTAGTGTTCATTATTGGGTACAACGTGTTGTGTTTTAAATTTGAACCAAAACCGTACGTACGTTGTCCAAAACGGAAGGCCTAGTTGTAGAAAGATATTCATCTTTGCATGATCTATTACAGTAGCCTACGTGATTTAGTCTGTAAAATTCTCACCGATTTCGTGCCGATTAGGGGGTCTGGCATAGTCTAGTACCAAAAATTGGCTCAACGATTTTGCATACGTCATCCCTAATTTTGAAAAATTCATCCTTTTGCACATATATATAATGTCTTATTTCCCCTCTCTATATGTCAACAATTTTTGGTATTCCCGTAGTATGTGAACCTAGATTACGGACACTGGAACGTAGTATGTGTACCCAGGCGTTCCTTGGCTAGTCCTCGATCTTGTAATGAAACTGAAATAAGAAATATTGAAATAAAATTATGGCCTGAAAGCCCTAAATTATGGCCTAACTGGCGACGCGCAACTGGCACTTTGGATCCTTTTCCAATAAAAATAAAGGCTTTAGTACGTTGAACTATTAATTTAAATTGAATTAGCATATTTTGTTTCGGGTTTCGGGGGTAACTTTTTACGATTTAGAAATATTTACGAGATTTCTAAATATACAAAATATGGAAACCGATATCCATTTACTTATACCTAACAGTTTTTATTCCAAATAACTGCAAAACATGGATTATTAATTATTTAAAACGTGCAGGAGAGATTCGGGTAGAAAAAAATTCGGCGTTATCGACTAGGTCTTATTTTAAGGGGAGGGCTTATATTAAAATCATTTTAAAAATTCTGGCTAATTCTTATTTTCGGGGAAACACGGTTGAACTGAAAAAAGGGAAAAGCTTGACACCTCCTTTTCTTTATAGACTGCCCTTGTGATAATAATTAATGTAAGAACGACGAAGTCCCCCCCTTGTCCCACACTAGTCTTGCTTGCGGCACACTTGTGTTACTTATTTTCAAGGCGTTTCATTTTTTATTGAATAAAATAATTTGTTTTTCAGGTCGCTCCAGTCCGAGACGAAGCGTGTGATTTGGGGTTTCCAGAAGATGAATTTCAAAGTAAGTATTTGTTGGTCGCGACATTTAGTCCGTTTTAAGGTATACAATTCTAACATTTTGCGATAGGTGTTACGAAGAATTTACAAATTTGATGCGCGTGTCTTGTGTTACTAAACTAGAAAGTGGACGATTAATCAGCAATCGCTGTGTTAAAACAGTTGAATAGAACTCACTCTCTTTCGAGACGAAAAAAACTCTGTATGTTGCACGCATTGTTACCCTGCCAATGTAAGAAAAATCATTATATACGACCACGCTTGAAAATCTGTCTGCATGAGAAAGATGCTTTTGCATCTGGCTGATGTCACGAAGTAAACGAGTCGAGGTTTGGAGAAACATCAATATTCCCGCCACGAATAAAAAACTTAGGCTTCAATCACCAATAAATATCTGGAATCCCAATCCTATTCCCGGGAATTCGACCCAGAATTTAAGTCCTACTCTATTCCGAGACATAATCCACGGTCTGAACCCAGTCAATGTCACTAAAATAATTTATTTTAAACTTCGTTTCATTTTCATTATTCTATAATTACATAATTCTAGCATTTTGGCGATAGGCATATGGTGGATTTAAAATTTTATCTTCATGTCTTGTGTCAATATTCAGTCAAAAGTAAGCTGTTAAGTCTACGATCGCTCGCTTTGCAAGGTTTTTAGAAGAGAAATAAGCAATGCGTGAAACATCACAGGCATGCGACTATTTTACTCGCATTGTTACCCAGTCGATGTTAAAAATCATATACTATTTATTTTAGAAATGGTAAATGATTTGTTACATAATTGAATTATTTTATTTTAAGATTTCTTCGCGATAGATCGATGTAAGTATTTGTTGAACGCAATATTCAGCCCAACACCGCGGTGCACAACGTAGAGCCACATAATTTTGATGACGTCATAGCAAAGTAATAGCTTTCTGGAATTTTATTTTTATTTTTAAACACTGAAAATTTCAAAGCAATTGGTCCAGTAATCAAAGAGAAAGGCGATTTCTTCAAACAAAACGTGTCGAAGAACAGCAGGAATAAAAATAACATAACAATCGCTATGTCCACTACGTGTCCAATATTGAAACAATGTAATGTCCTGAAAAACCGCCGATTTTGTTATAAACGTTATATTTTGATGTATATCATGAATAAAAAATATTTCTTATTACCGAGACCGTTCGCGTGCCACGTTTTAGCGTATGGCGTGCCTCGTGTGTTGCGCACCCCTGGCCTAGGCAAAATAAGTCCATGGAGGATTTACAAATTTGATGCGCATGTCTTGGTGTTACTAAACTAAAGTGAGCTGTTAGTCTGCAATTTTCAAACAGTTGGATGAAAAGACTCGTTGTGCTCTCTCGAGTCCATAAAAAGCTCTCTACTCTGGAAACTGACCACTAGCGAGACTCTGGACCGAATTTAGGAGTAATGACCCTTAATAAGCCCTGTACCGGAATTAACCCAATCCCGAAATTCAGCAGAGATTGGTGACTTGACAAAACACTTCTACTTCCGCAATTAGTAATAGATGTAAACAACCTACGGTTCCATTAAATTAAAATTCCTTCTGTAAATAAACAGGCGTATTCTTCTTCTGATTTAAAAATTACGATTCGTGAGCGAGCTGGGAGATGCCTGTTAGCTAACTTTTATTGATTTTTAAGTACTTTTTTACTTCCCTCTGGGAGTCTAGCTGATTTCATTTGTGTAAATAATTTAAAAGCTTTGTCGAAATAGTTTTTTTCTTTCTCAAGAAGTAAGGGATTTGGAATATTAAGTCGATAAATTTCCCCATGACAGGATTTCATACACATAACACCAATAAAATATCCAGTTATCGAGTTGTGCAGTTGTGCAACACTATTTTTATATTTCCAGGTTTACCAACTCTTGAAGAGGAGTTCGCACAAAGTGTTGTTCTTGGTCTTCGACTAATTCGTATCAATTATTTTGTAATATTTATTGGACACTAAGCAAATCTATGGATCGTTTTTATGTTATATCAGCGGTTATCCAACCGCGGCCCGCGGGACGGTACAAATCTTAATCATTGGGATTGGATGGAAAGTATTCTTTAGGCCCCGTTCTGCAACTTTGGGCACCAATTAAGCTCTAATTTTTTTAATTACTGTAAATCTGTGGGCTCTGTTTTGATTTGTGGTTGTGTGACGTCATCAAATTTCTGGGGGATTCGTTAGTGTCTTGACGTCAGTCAAATTTATCATTTACCGTCCGTGGGTTGTAAGGGTTGGTTTATGCCATCTAAGTTACTGTATCTGTGGTCTATGGGATTCGCTTGTGTGGTGATAAATTAACCTTTGGTGTCCATATTTTTTGCATTGCCCCCTCTATCTCCCTAAAATGAATGAACTTTGAATAAATTTCGGTACTACATTATTATTATACGAACTCCCAAAATTGTTTTGACACCCTGGAAGTATAGTTTCGGTCATGCCAGATCTTTGCGTAATATCAACTTGATATGCCCGAGTTTATTGCCTTTTTAATAGTTTTTATTCGTCGTTTTTGTCGAGCCATATCAATTACTGAACTAGTACTATTTTATGTAGCTGTAATGTATTTTTGAATTGTTAATAAAAATCTGGCAACTGTAATTTGATTTCTGTAGTTTATGCGTTTGAGCAAGTAAGGGCGTAAGATTTAGGAAGCAAGTTTCTTGTAAAGCTGTAAGGAGAGCATGGGGATTGATAGGCAGGGGCTGTGGGCGCAATACCACCTGGTCGCTATGACGTCACAGCTAGGATTTTTCAGGGCCCTGCGGTGCCCCCCGCCCGGGGCGGCTGACGGCGCGGAAATTCGTTATGTATGGCCATAGTTGGCCATAGATAATCCGTGGATAAATAACAAAATTTATCTTCGATCAAGCATGATCATGCATGATCACGTGTAAATTTTAAAAAATCCTTGTTTTCCTGACTCTAACCCTTCGATTTTTCCCATTTTCGGCGATTTTTTGACGATTTTGAGATATTTCAACTCGTGCTGACGTCATGGATTTCGCCAGTTCATCGAGTGTTTTGATAGGCAGATCGCAGCTCTCAACATCGAATTTTTAATCTTAGAGCCGCGTTCTGCCTGTCAATCATTCGACAAGCTGGCAAATTCCGAAGTTCATGACATGAGCAGGCCCAGCGGGGCTCAAACTATAGATAGACTGAACAAATATAAGAAATTAAACGCCTTTAACCGTTAGGCCATTGTATCAAGTGTACTGAACGATTTAAGTTCTAATATTTATCTCACGACTTTGCAATTGATGTTTGTGCAGGTAATTGCAAGGTCCAGACATGAATATTAGAACTTAGATTATTCCCCGAGCTTAACATCGTGGCCTAACGGGTAAAGGTCTCAAATTTTTCATATCTGTTCAGTGTATCTGTAGTTCGAGCCCCGCTGGGCCTGCCCCGTTGTGACGTCGTGAATTTAAGAATTCGCCAGATCGTCCAGTGATTGATTGACAGTCCGTGTGGCTCGCAGGTCGAGAATTTGATGCTGAGAGCCGCGGTCTGTCAATCAAACACTCTGGATGAGAGGGCAAATTCCGGAATGCACGACGTCACGACGAGTTAAAATATCTCAGAATCGTCAAAAATCGCCGAAAATGGGAAAAATCGAAGGGTTAGAGTCAGAAAAACAAGGAATTTTGAAATTTACACATCGATCATGCATGATCATGCTTGATTGAATATAAATTTTGCTATTTATCCTCGGATTATCTATGGCCGACGATTGGCCATAGATAATAAATTTTCGCGCGGCGAGCCGCCCCGGGCGGGCACGCGGCCCGGTAGCGCCCCGAAAAAAATTCCCTAGGTGTGATGTCATATCGACCAGGCACCGTACCGCTTATCAATCTAACATAGCGATCCATATACGCAGAATCCTAACCTTCTTACTAACTTTCTAAAATTTATTTCAACTAGAAATCACCAGAAAGTATTGTTTTTAGATTTTATTGATCAGGAAAAGAAACTACGGCGACATTGACCATATACAAAAAAAAATTTAATATAAAATATCAAGATATGGTTGAAACATGTATATGTATGTATGTACATGTATAACGCCTCCAATATGTATAACGCCTCCAATAATGATATTCTCGCCACGCAGTGAGCACGAAATATACAGTAGTCATGTGCAAAGAAATCGGTGATTAGCGATTATTATAATTTCATTTAATTAAAAGAACGCATTCTTCTTCGTACACATTCTGTGCATAAACGGTGAACCTGCAAATGTAAAATAATAGTTCAATTCTGGTAAAAGGAAATCGGAGATTCATGCCAGCTGCCCGACATGTTATAAGGTCGTATATTTTAAAGCAGGGACGTGATAAAAATAAGAGCTATGGACTACCTTAACCCATTCGAAGAATTAACTATAACTATATACTCCAGCAATTTTCAAAGCTTGTTCCAGAAACCGAATTAATAATTTTATAATAAGAGATTTGTTTCAAATCAGACGATATTCTTGTCCCAAATATTTGCGCTTAGAAAAGTAAATCAAATACTAGCGGTAAAACACGCCTCCCAGACTGCCTAGCTCACAACTTACAACAAGTGGCGTGATTTCTTTGGCACTATTGCAGTACGTGAACTAAGATGGCGGACACCGGGACAGAGTATGTGCACCAGGTTAGGGTTTTGCCATAATTTTATTCCAATTTACGTTATTTTTTTAGTTTTATTAAGAGTTTGGGAACTAGCCAAGCGACACCTGTAGAATTTGCACCTGGAATTATGGCCTAACCCTAACGTGGTACACATACTACGTTCCAGTGTCCGCCATCTTGATTCACATATTTCGGGAATACCAAATTTTCAATTTAACAGGACCGCATGTGCAATAAAACCTTCAATTAATGATGACCGGCCCTCATTTACTAACTCAAAAGTCATTTATTGCAATCAGTGTGAAACGGTTAATTAGCAAAGAAAGACCAAAGCAAGAATCTGGAATGCTGGCGTTTTAGAGAGCGAGTCGTCATCACCTGGAGTCTGAGTAAAGGGTGAGGGGTCAGTCATGTCTCGAGAACAGCCTTTTAGTCCACAAAGTCGAAAATTCGCTGGTGTTCAAAGTGTAGTAAGAAACCGGTTTATTTCATTTAGATGATACAATTCGGTTAAACCGATGGGCGATTGCAGATCGCTTATCTGAAGCTTATTATTTACTTTTAAGTTAAGGGAACGAGACACCGGCACAACAAATTTGAAGATCCTCAATTAAATCATATCTCCTGAATTTGTGGAATTGCGACATTAAAATATATTAAACGGAATGAATAATTTTTCAACAAATACTCACTTGAAAATCATCTTCGCCTCCATACCACAGGATAGTAGAGAAGAGTAATCTCCATGACACCTGAAAAATATTTTTCAATAACTTCATACATTTGAAAATTGTTTGGGTTAAAATTTGAACTTTTTACAAAAACTCACGGACAGAATTTAGTCGGGTTGGTGATTTATTCGGTGAGTTGCCGACTTGTTTATGTAACCAATCTAACGCTATGAATCAAATTGAAAAAACAGGATTTGGGGATATAGTGGGGATGACGTAAAACATAGCCGAATTCATTTGAAACATATTCTAAAAACATAACTTTTGGGAATGTAATTCAGAGTTTTTTGAATATAATCTCAAACAAATAAAGTTTCCGAGAGTTGATTTCGTATATAAGTAGTTAGGAAAGTTTAAGAGTTCTGTTATTTGTGTTTAGGATGGAGGGAAGAAGTGACCCTGAGCTATGAATAGGATTAACATATTCATCCCTCGAAGATGAATATAAACTTTACATATCATTAGCTTCGACCCTCTAATTCAGCAGCAAAACGTATGTGCATAACTCGTAATAAAACGCACCGCCCGTGGTCTACGCATGGCATGGTTAGAATCGATCGTTAAACAAAACAAGCTCAAATATATGGACACGGAGTAGTACAGTATAATACAGTTATTCGCAGTAGCGTACCGGAAAGCAATTCGTCCGGTAAGTAAAGAGAATGGCAAGAAGAAAAATAACATAGTAACAAAACTATCCACATGGTTACTCCTATCGTCGGCAAACAGACTTTTCAGAACATAGATTGTCTCAGTATGTAGCATTTAACAAAAACGAATTATAACCGATGTTATCACTGAAACTCCAATATATGGACACGGAGTAGTACGCGTATACAGCCTTTCGCAGTAAATACCGGAAAGCAATTAGCTCGGTAATTGAAAATAAATTTTAAAGAAAAAATTAAAGAATTAAAAAACAAATAACAAATAATTCTAACGGTAGGAAGAAAAATTATATATATATAAGAACAACAACATAATAACAGAACAATCTATATGTCCACTCCTATCTGAGTCGGCAAACAGACTTTTCATGAGGTATAGGTTGCCCTCAATATGTAGCAGTTAACTAAGGAGAAATGCACTGCGATAAAAAGTACTGAGAATATGATCTTAAACGATCTTAAACGAACGATCTTAAGATCGTTAAGTATGTTGATAGGTATTTGTCTGTCTCCTTGTTTGTCTGTTAGATGAACGCGATATTTCACGAACGCGAGGTTGAATCTGCTCCAAATTTTGCATGTGCATGCATTATATCTCGGACCAGCAGCCTATTGATTTTGGGTTAATTATGTCGTATAATTAGCTAGTTGTCAATTAATTATTTTTTATAATTAGCAAGTTATTAATTAAATAATTTTTTTTTGCGGTCGGTCGATAAGTCTTCGGTCTCCGGTCCATATATATTTTTTTTGTCATGCCAACTAATTCACACAAACCTCAAAATTGGATTTTTCTGCTTGGTCGGTTCAGTCTTCTCTCTGCTCTCAGTAGTGATCCGATATCGGAACCTAAAGAGAAATTTAAAAAGAAAAATAGCAATTGTTCCGGACACCAAAAACTGCCAAGACCATAATATTGGATAGACTACTTCACGCATTCGATAATGCCGATTGTTCATGCAGAACTAGATCAATTTTATTGTATTACATTGCAAAAATAAATAAGAGAAAACCGACGACCTAATTACCGCTGACGAAAATTAACTGTTTTTGCAAATGCTATTTAGATTATTCAAACACAGTTTAGCAATTTAGTTTGAGTACGATAACTCCCACAAATTCGTCTGTTATTAGTTTTACAAAAGAAATTCAGTGCTTCCGAAGTATGCGCACCAGGTTAGGGTTTGGTCATAATTTTATTCCGATTTCCTTATTTTAGTTCTACTATAAGTTCGGGGACTGTCTGTTAGCCAAGTAAATACACCCCCTGCCCATAGGTATCATTCCCGGTACACAACTTGATGTAAAATAGGCTAACAAAATTTTCTACCTTCATATTAGTACACATACTTTCGGAGCGCCAGAAATTAGGCTATCGTAAAATCGTTTGGCTAAATTGACCAAGTTAAATATACCAAAGAAAAGCCTTTTTTCATCTGATTACATCAGGTTTCACAAAATCTCATATGAGGCCACGATGCGGCTTTCTGGGTTCACCAACAAAGCCCTTCCTCACACTGTGTACCATATAAATTTCATTACGTATAACTGGTGAAGGCCTGATAACAAAA